TGGCATGGCCGGCACTCAGAGCCCACAGCCTGGTGTCCTCGCCTGGGGTCAGATGTGCGTGGCGTCGACCCCTTGGGCCAGCCGGTGTCCTGGGAGGTGGGTGCTTCTGGGGCTCAGCCTCTCCTCCTGCCCCTCAGCAGCCCCGGCCTCCAAGGGGGACCCCACACGCCCACCTGGAACACCTGACACCCCCTTGCTTGGGTCCAGATCCCTGCTGGCCTCAGCTCCTGGCCTCATCGTGGAGACCCCAACTCGGCCTCCAACCCTGGGTCTTCTCAGACCCACCCCAAGTTCCATGTTGCAGCAGCCTGCCCTCCTCAGAGCCCCCTCTTGCTGCTGCTGCCCCCCCCCCCACCACGACAACTGGCTGTGTATGCGGGCTGGGTACGCAGCGACCGGCTCACACTGCACCAGCACGCCACTCACTCCTGGCCGTCCTGAGCCCACAGCCTCTGTCCCAGACCTCCTGGGGTCGAGAGCTGGCTGCTGCTGGGAATGAGGTCCAGCCCTGCCCTCCAGGGGCTGACGGCCTAGGTGGGGTACAGGGCATGAAGACACAGATAATTCCCAGCCATGAGCTGAGGGCCACCCCTAGGGCCTGAATGGGGAGCCCTGAGTACACAGAGGGAAGGAGACCAGTGCCGCCCAACGGGGTGGGGCAGGACTCCGTGGGCTGGAGGAGGAGGCATGTTCCCCACTGGGAGGAGAGCATGAGCCAAGGCCCAGAGTGGAGAACAGGGACTGCAGTCAGCCAGTGTGGCTCGGGTGACATTGGGGTCATTAGCTGTGGAGGAGCAAGGAGCTTCTGGCACATTCTTTTCCATTTTCAGCAAGTTTTGTTGTCCCTTTTGCTCCCTATGGCTAAAAAGCTTGTCCCTAGCAATTTTTTAGCTGTCACTAGAACATTTATGAATCAAGCTGGCATTTCTATTTCATGAATATATTTGGGATATTAACGACCAACGGGAAAGACATTAACGGTGTTCTCAGGAGAACCGTCACTCCCCGAACCACGCCCCCTTCACCAAACTCAGACCCAGAAAGAACCCTGTAAAGGGGCAGAATGTGGTCACCACTCACGGCCAAGCCCAGAGCAATGCACCTGTCAGCAAATTAGAGTTGGCTCAAATTTAGCCACACACACCCAGCTGGTTGCCTAATCTTAACTTATAAAGAAGGCCTTTACTAATTTCTTAAATCTCCTCTTGTCTGTCTGGAGGTGGCCCCTGGAATATGATTTTAAATGCTTTCCATGACGTCCCTGAACAGGGAGGAAGCCGGCTGTGAATCTCAAATCCGTAACCTTCTTATCCGAGGAGAAAAGCCTGGGTGAGAGGCGGGCGGGGCTCTGCTGGCCTTGGGAAGGGCTCCAGGTGACCTCCTGAGCGGCTGCAGGACACCAGGACTGGCCTGAGGCCAGTGCTGCCCTCACCCCCACCCTGGGACATACTCTGCCCCACATACCAGAGAGGCCAAGATTTCTTTAAAAAAAATAAGATTTGGGGACACCCGGGTAGCTCAGTTGGTTAAACATCTGCCTTTGGTTCAGGTCGCAATCCCAGGATTGAGTCCCGAATCGGGCTCCCTGCTCGGTGGGAATTCTGCTTCTCCCTCTGCCTGCTGCTCCCCCTCTCAAGTAAATAAATTATATATTTTTTAAAAAATAAGATTTTACTGTTGTGTTTACATGATGCCACCAGAATAACCATGCTCCCTACAGAAAATTGAGGTGGAGGAGAGAGAAAACCATAAAGAAGAAAATCCCCCAAGATCCTCCCACTCAGACATCGGTTCTGGAACATTCCAGAGACTCTGCCCTCACGGGTCTCCTTGCTTCCACTCTAATTCCACAATCCAGGCCTTCAAACACTTTTTTAAAGATCACTCCAAGCCATGAGCTTCCCGCAAATCCCCACTGCACACAGAGTCAACCCCAAATCCCGGTCCCCGGCCCACAGGCCTATGCAAACACGAGCCCACCTCCCCAGAGGCACCATGTCCCCATCAACAGAATATGAGCGTGCCCTGCTCCTCCCACCCCACTGTCACCCCAGCGCCTGGGACACACGTGGCCGAGACAGACTCCTTCCAGTCTTTTCTCCAGGTGTGTGTGTGTGTGTGTGTCAACTGTGAACATAGCTGAGATCATACATCAAGATTTCTTGGAAATTCCACACCTTTTTGCACACAAACTGTTCTAGGCCTTCTCCCCGCTGCTCAGCCTCAGGACCTCATGATCAGATGTCCCCCCAAGTCCTGGGGGACCCAGCCATGACCCCTGACTCTACCCCAAGGCAAGGCCTGATCTGGCAAACGCCAGCTCCTGGAGGCAAGAGCATGATGTCCGCAGCTCTTCACAGTTTATAAAACTAAGTCAATTCATCCAGCCCAACGGAGCCTGCAAACAGCCCACCCCCAAAGAGGGAGGCGGGGCAAGGAGAGTCTGACCACCCATCTCTAAAATGAATCCACTGAGGCTCAGAGCGGTCACGTGGCTTCTGTAACTCGTGGGGCAGGAAGCAGACCCAGGACATTTGGTCCCAGATAGCAAAGTCCTCATGTTTACATGGGATCAGAGATTTCACTCTAAGAAGATCAAGAAAGGAGATACGGGTGAGGAAGAGCCCCGTTCCAGAGTCCAACGGCCTGGCCTAGAATCCTAGCTCTGCCCCTTCCTATCTGTGTGGCCTTGGGTGAGTCACTTTGCTTCTCTGGGCCTCAGTTTTTTCCTCTGCAAAATGGGGATGACGACAGCTCCCTCTTCATTCTGTTGTCGGGAGGATTCAGTGATTTGATCGCACACACCAAGGGCATAGAGGAGGGCCCGGCACATATCACCACTCATGAAACACTAGCTATCTACGGATGCGCCCGTGCCCGAAGGATGAAGCTACACGGGTCAACGAGTGCGCCACCCGCCTCTCAGCCATGACCGCCACCCCCCAGCGGACCTGAACTGTCAGCCCCCGGGGGATGAGTCTTGTACAACAAACAGGTTTCCAAAAAGCCCACTGCAAATGGACTCCTAGAAGCCACTTCCATTTAAACATTCATTCATGTGCAAATTCCTTGCCACTCGGTCAAGTAGGAAAGGGCTCCTCGTTCTTGGGCCTAAAGCCCCCCGACCCCACCGCACCCCACTTGAATGGCATCAGCAAACACTCCGAGACAGCCAAGGGGAGAAACCTGGGGGAAAGGAACCTTCCTAAAAGGAAGACGCCCTCTGTAAGTTCACACCCCCCGCCCAGCAACAACTCGGGCAAATAAGTCAAGGCAGCTCCATGTGCGAATTAGGAAGACCCCCAAATGCCCATGGTTGTTCTGACTTCTGCGAAGGGGCAGGTAGAACAACGTCGCTGAAATGCCCACCTCACCGTGCCGGCTCCCCGAGCCCCCAGCGATCCTGAGGCTCCAAGCCGTGGTCACCCAGCCCTCTCTTCCAGGATCCTCACCCCCAAAGTCCCAAAGCCCCTTACACGGGCCACAGCACACAGCCGCTCCTCTCCAGTGTCCGCCAGCACGTCTGGCCTCCCCTGTCCCCTCGGCCTGAAACAGCCCCCTTTCCCTGCACCAGCAGCACATGGCCCACCTGGTTGGGTTATTTGTCCACTCCCCAGGGATGGGGCCTCACCATGGGCCACGGCTCGTCGGAAACTGTCCCCACCCTGGAGAACCTCAGCGTGAGAACCTAGGCTGGCGTCCTCTGCTGTGCCATCAGGACACACACGGCACCGTCCCCAAGTTCACCCAGTTCCCAAAAGTCTCGTATGCCGGGACACACAGCTGTGTGTCTGCCCCCCGCATCGCCATTCCAGAGAGGCATTCGTTCATTCCCCCATTCATTCATTCATTCATTCGCACAAGTGGACAGAAACAATAAATTGACACATGGCGTCTGGCCTGCGGTGGGAGCCTGGCGTCTGCTTTGGACACACACCCTTGGCTCAGCCAAGAGCAGCCTCACAGCTGTGGAGACCCACAGCAAGGGGGACAAGAAGCCAGCAAGGACCCCCCTCCCAGGGGGCGGCCAGGGCCAGCAGGCAGCACGGGCCGGGTAGAAGCCAGTGGCCGGCCCACCCCGCGGGAGCTCTCTCCCGCCCTGGCCTCCCCACGGTGCAGCCCAAACAGGGCATTTGGACAGAACTTCCCATTCCAAAAATCAGTATTTAAAGCTCCAAGCCTGCCAAGTGGAGGGGAAGGCCTTGCTTGTAAATATTTGTCTCGACTGGTAGAGCCAGGCTTCTCGCTCCCTGCAGCCTCCTAGGGTCACTTCTGGCCCTCGGCTCTCGGAGCTCCCAGCCAACGGCCAATGGTGCAGAGGGAAAGCCCCAGGGGGTAGGACCCGCCAGCAGTCCAGGGAGCGGGGCTGGGCCGTCTCTGCACCCACACCTCCAAGCTAGGCCGCCCAAGGGCTCTCCATCTGTCCCCCAGGCCATGGCAGAGACAACCTCCTCTGAGGTTTCTCCGGATTCCAGGCAAGCAGCTTTTCCCAGGGGCGCTCCATATTTATGTCTTTTTTGTTTGGGAAGGAAGCAAAAAGCTGAAGACAAATCCCTGAGGGTATGCTTATAAATCCGCCCACCATCGCCCACCGTGGGGACAGCGCTCCAGCGCCCTCCCCACAGCTGTGCCCAGGAGGGGACGGCACGGGCGCCCCGGGGACAGCTGTCGCAAGGGCGGTGGGCGGTCCAGTCAGCTGAGTGCCATTCCCAGAGAGGCATTCATTCATTTCCCCATTCATTCATTCATTCATTCATGCACCGATTATTTACTAAACACCTACCTGTACCAGGCACCAGGGGCCGGACACGCCAGGGGGCATAAACATACCCGGGCAAAATCCCTTCGGGAGGGCGTCTCCCAGGCCAAAAGAATCACACACACAAGTCACAGCTGAGACAAGGGCTGGGGTAGGCGACGTGGAGGTGTGACAGACAGTGGAAGGTCAGGAAGGGCTTCCCCAGGGAGCAGAACAAGGCCACCTCCTGCCCAGCACCTACCAAGCCACTCGTTGAACTTCTTGACCTCGCTCGGGAGCCCCAGCTCCGTGAAGTCCCCGGCGTGGATGAGCACGTCGCCGTAGGGCATCTGGATGGGGTCGGTTCTCGAGTGGGTGTCCGACACACAGACGAAGCGGGTGTAGCCAGGTGGCTTGGGGGCATCGTGAGGCACAGGGTCCACCCTGGGGGAAGAGAAGACACCGCAGGTGGGGTGTGTCCAGCCCCAGGCTGAAGCTGCTGTTCAAGGCCCTGTCCACTGAGACCACACCCACCCCGAACACGGACAGTGTGCCTGGCCTTCCCAATGGGCCCTCGGGGGTTCGAGTCCTGACTCTCCTGCTCGCTAGCCCGGCAAAACTGTGTGTTCCCCCGGGCCTCAGTTCCCTTCTGTAACACGGGGGTCGAAGGCGGTAAGGAGTGGGGAGTACTGGTGGGCACGGCGTGATTATGACAGCTAACCCGCTGCTTGGCCAGCACTAACCCTCTCCCCCATCACCCCTGTGGGGCCTTTTTGATGTTTCTTCCCTGCTCACTCCCTTCCCATGAGATTTCACTACCACAGAAGCATGTATATGTGCTCCTGCTGTATCTGGGCTTTATAATAAGAAAAATAAGCTTCTTCTTCACCCCCTAAGAACCAGTTTCACCCCTCGGGCGCGCCATCAGCCACCCCAAGAATGCAAAGGCCACAGTCTCTGTTCCTGGAGAAAGAGTTGTCTCCCTCCAGGGCCCCTCGGAACACACGGCGTCCAGGGAGAGCCGGTGGGAAAGTGGGGATTTCACGGGAGCGTATGAAACCCAGACAGTTTTTCTAAACTCTGAGATGGTCCCATCATTTTTTTTTTAAGATTCTATTTATTTATTTGACACACAGAGAAAGAGATCACAAGTAGGCAGAGAGGCAGGCAGAGAGAGAGGGGGAAGCAGACTCTCTGCTGAGCAGACAGCCCGATATGGGGCTCAATCCCAGGACCCCGAGATCACGACCTGAGCTGAAGGCAGAGGTTTAACCCACTGAGCCACCCAGGCGCCCCATCATTTTTTTTTTTTTTTTTTTTTTAAACAAGGGCTTTCCAGCAGCGCCTGGGAGGCTCAGGTGGTTTAGTGTCTGACTTCAGCTCGGGTTGGGATCTTGGGGTCCTGGGATCGAGCCCTAGCAGGGAGTCTGCTTGCCCCTCTCCCTCCACCCCTCCCCCAGCTCGTGCTCTCTCTCTCTCTCCCTCCCTCTCTCTCTTCCAAATGAATAAATAAAATCTTTAAAAACAAAACAAAAACAAGAGCTTTCCAGAGGTGTGAAGGAAAAGGGTGCTGGAATTAGAAGACCAGGCTCCAAACGCCAGCTCGGCCCCTTATCACCAATGTGTGACCTTCAGCTTGGCCTTGCTTTGCTTGACCGTAAAATGGAGCTATGTCACTGAGCAAAAATTATCAGAAAATTAAAACAGCTGCAGGGATGTAACTTCCTGTTCTGGGAAGCCCGTCACAGTCCCCTGGTTCCGCAGACAACAACGGTGAGCGAGTGGCCCCCGGCGTCCCAGGGAATAAAGGCGGACTGCAGGACACAAACCAGCACTGTGCTCCCCGTTCAGTGCTCCCCCCACCTCGTTCAGCCTCCTCAGCTGAATGATTCTGCCAGGCTCAAAACTCTTAAAAACAACGCAATGACATTTCAATGAGCAGCTCTCTCCAAATGAGTATGCCGCTCGAGGAGTTGTGTTTAAATCTAATTATGCGGCAAACCAAAAGCGGTACCATATCAGTTACATAAATACTTTTAAAGACATCTTTCTAATTATCCTTTTTTTTTTTTTCAGACAATATACTTCGAAGAAATTTAATTAACACCTTACGAGAGACGTGGGTTCGGCATGCTAATGTGCGAGGGAGCATTAGCAGGCTCTACTTACCCCAGTCGGAGGCACTGAGCCAGCCTCTCTGCAGGGCATCACAGTGCCAGGGCGGGAGGGAGCCCCCTTGGTGCTTGAGGGGCATGGTCAAGCCGACTTAAAACCCAACAGGTCCGAGCAAGGTGTGACCAAGGAGAAGAGGAAGATTCCCTGAGTCCCAGTCTGATGGCAACCAGCAAGAAGGCACTGGGGACTCTTCCTCTTCCCTCTGCATCCAAATACCCATCCATCTATCCATCCATCCATCCATCTACCCGTCTGTCCGTCCATCCATCCATCCATCCATCCATCTACCTGTCTGTCCGTCCATCCATCCATCCATCCATCCATCCATCCATCTACCCGTCTGTCCGTCCATCCATCCATCCATCCATCCAT